AGAATCTGCAGCTTGGTCCTAAGAATAGATACAATATAACAATATACATCACAGGTCTACTACTTTCAGAAGGTAGTAACACTTATAGTTTTAGTTTTGTGTGTGTGTGTGTGTGTGTGTGTGTGTGTGTGTGTGTGTGTGTGTGTATGTGTGTGTGTTTGTGCCAGTCCTGGAATTTGAACTCAGTGCCTAGGCACTGTCGTAAGCTTTTGTGCTGAAGGCTGATGCTCTACCACTTGTGGCCACAGCTCCACTTGTGGCATTTTGGTGGGCTTCAAATTGTAATCCTAAAATCTCAGCCACCCAAGTAGCTAGGATTAAAGGTGTGAACCATTGGTGCCTGGCTTCAACATTTGTGATTTATTAAAGTAGGCTGTCGGTCACTTAAATCAGAAAGAAATCAGAAGGAAAAATTTATTTCCAAGCAAGAGAAATGAATAAAGCATTCTGGATGGAGGGTCAGGCATTATTTTTCAGTAATGTACAAGAATACCGAGTAATGTACAAGACTACAACCAAAGAACAGCAAAATCAAGAAAAGACTATATAAGATAAGGTGATGTTAGGAAAATGAACCCTAAGATATGTATTTTAAATGTTTTTTTCTTTCATGCATTTGTTTCTAACGCATTTATAAGATTATTTCTTTGTTGCTTTGTATGTCCCTCCCCCATAGTATAACCCCTGCTTTCACTATATTTGATGTCGGTATAATTTGTGGAGGGGAAGGGGAAAAACAAATCATTTAAATAGGGATACAGGTGGACCCATTGCAACAATGAGATGTACAAGTCGTTATGTCGAAAACGAACTTTACAACTTTGGTGCAGCGGCAGGGGGAGCGGGGCGGGGGGAGGATGGGAAGGGATGGGAAGGGGAAACAAAGGGGGAGGCTACAATGCTTGATAAGAAATGTACTCATTAATCTTGCCCATGTAATAGTAACCCCTCTGTACAGTATTTTTACAATAAAAAATACTAAAAAAAGAAAAAAGAAAAGACTAACGGTGCCTCTGTTCCTACTTGTCTCCATTTCTAGGTATCAAGAAGGGCTGTGAAATAAATTCATTCTAATTGATGATCCAGATCAAACATGGAACAGCATTCAACCTACTAAAGAAAATGATCTTATTAAAGTAGGCTTGGAAATACCTCCCATTTAAAAAAAAAACAGAAACAAAAAAAGCTTTTTGCATCCGACTTAAAAATAGCTAAACTTTCTCTAACATGGACTTCACAAGTTTAAATGACTAGTTTCCTAAATTACACAGTACTTCTGAGCAGTCCACAGTTTTCCTTCTTTCATCAAACACATTTCTCATTCTAAATTGTAATCGACACTCTGACTTTAAAAAAAAAATCTAAATGAGAAAGCAAGACTGACATGTATTTGTCAATATCTAATGTTTCCCAGTTTGTTGTATCTCTAAACTTGAGAGGTTCCAAGGACGACTAGAATTTTGAACCAGGGAAGACAGTCTTGGAAATTTAAACTTACATACCATGAATATGTATTTTTATATTCCCCCTAGATACATGTGCAATTGCTTCACACGTTCTTAATTTCTTCCTTTCTGCTATATTTCATTGCTTAATTTGTCCTTATTGCTAGCAAGGAGTTGATTCAGCTCCCTTTATGAGCTGTCATAACATTCAAACTCACCTTCCATTATAAGCCAGCTTCATTTACCTACCTTGGCTAATTCTTCTACCAACCCACAGATCACCTATGGTATAACTATACTGGCATTTATCACATTATTATAACTGTGATTTCTCACCTGTCACTTCATTTAGACTGGCAGAAGATGTGTCGTGCTCTTCTTTGACTTCTAGCTCTTAACCAGAATTATCACCCAGTGACTGGAAACATTTCTGACTGATCAAAAACCCACTTTGAAGCACTATGAGTATATCTGGGGTCCTGAAGATGGGTATTTGTAAATCTGAACAGCCCACTTGCTTTTCCATCCCATTGTCCACTGAACACCAAAGAACAACAACTATCTAGGTCATGAGGAAGATTGAAGAGGCAACAAAGGAGGCTGATAAAACCAAAATATTTCTGTTGTTTCCAATTGAAAATTGGTGGTAGGTAAACAGGTCTTTGTCTTAAATCAAAGTCTTTGTCCTTTATATAATAAAGTTGTATGCAATTTTCCTCAGTGAGTATCAAATCTATTGGGATTCAAAATGACTCAGCTAAAACCAAGTTCATGGTTCATAGCTATAATCCTAGCTACTCAGAGATCTGAGGATAGCAACTTGAAGTTAGCCCTAGCAGACAAGTCTGAGACCCAGCAACAAGCTGGAACTGAAAGTGTGAAGGTAGATTATCAACTGTGACCAAAAAAAGTTAAGCAAGAAGAGAAGCTCTGAGTTCACAGCCCAGTACCGGGATATGTATAGGTGCACATGTGCACGCATGCACATGGATACACAGAGTTCACAGCCCAGTACTGGGATACGTATAGGTGCGCATGTGCACGCATGCACGTGCACACACAGAAACACACAGACTCAATACAGACCTCTGCTAATACTTGTTTACCTGAATGTGTGTGTGCAAGAAAAGTCAATACCATTACCAGTAACTGTGCTGATTGTGAAAAGTCCTTTGAATTGACCTTATTAGAGGTTTAGTTCTCTGTCTTAGTCTCCTTTGGCTTCACGTTCTTCATCTATATATTTTATCCCCAAAGCTTTTCACACTGAGGTAGGAAATGTGTAATAAATGGTAGAAAATAACATGCTGTAACAATTTCTGGTTCCAAGTTGGTGGATACACAATTAAATTTCATTTGTGGTAAGTTATGTCCCACAGGCAGCTTCAGGCACGGGAATAGTAGGAAGCAATGATCCATGCAGTGTCATTCTCACGTTTTTCCTACTCATGAAAGTTTTTTCTTTAACTGAACTTTTGAGATAATTTTTAAATTAAAGGTTTTAAAGGAAATAAAGGTAAGGTCCTTTTTGAAAACAACTTATGTTGTTAAACTAAGAGTTCTATGGAGAAATTTTAATGCTTCCCTAGAGATTAAAAGTAATAATGAAAGAGAGAGGGGAAAAAAATGAAAGCAGCTATAACTCTGTGAGCAAAATTCTACTCAAATATTCAAGGTGAATTTGACACCATGGTACAAAGTTCTGACATTCATGGAACTCCAGCAGAGTTCTAAGTAAATCAAAGACTTACTTACACAACAACGAATAATTCATGTACTTGCAACAGGTATTAACATTTGAGGAAGATGAGATTATAGCTCAAATATTCATACTAAAAATAAAATCCATTATTTATGTACTTGCAATCTATATATTTTTGCGAAATGTACTTGATATCAGTTTTAATCTATGTTCCAGACTTTCACTGTTCTAGCTTCTCAGACTCCCTTCTAGTCTCTCAGTCAGGGTTCTAGATTCTAAGACATTGTTTATAGGCTCTTAATATTCTAAGACAGCTTTCTAGTTTCTTGGTCAGTCTTTTAGAATCTTAGTCACTATTCTAGCTCCACAGTAAATGTTCTAGGCCCTCAGCCACTTTTAGTCTCTCATCCGCTGATTGACTTTCTCCATCATGTTCTAGATTCTCCATCATATCTCTAGGCTCTCAATTACTATTCTGGACTCAGTCACTGTTTTAGGCTTAGAGTCATTTTCCTAGGTTCTCACTGTATTAGGTCACTGTTCTAGGCTTCCTGTCACTTTTTTAGGTTTTCGCTGTTCTAGGTTCATGGTCACTGTCTTCTCTCAAAGTTCTTATTTTTCAGTCACTATTGTAGGTCCTCACATTACCACTCTAACTATTCTAAGTTATGAGTCATTGTTCAAGGTACTTGCTCACTGTTTTAAGTTGTCAGTTACTGGTCTAAGGCTACATTCCAACTTTCTCCATTTTTCCCTATTGAAAGGAAGTTTGAATAAAAATAAAGTGATAACAGTAAAAAAAATTAAGAAAGCTAAAAAATAGGATACCAGGCTGGGCAGCAGTGGCTCATGCCTGTAATCCTACCCACTCAGGAGGCTGAGATCTGAGGATCACAGTTCAAAGCCAATCTGGGCAGGAAAGTCCATGAGACTCTTATCTCTAGTTAACTACCAGAAAACCTGAAGTGGTACTGTGGCTCAAGTGGTAGAGTGCTAGCCTTGAGCTGAAGAGCTCAGGGATAGTGCCCAGGCCCAGAGTTCAAGCCCCACATCAACCAAAAATAAAGGATACCAAATAGTTTATAAATGTTTTACCATGAAATTGCTGGACAAGCAAACAAAAGATGCAATAAAACTTCAACAGGTTAAACATGCATGAGCTACACCCATAGGGAAGGATTCCAATACCAGAGGCCTACCAGGCATTACTGGCAAAATCAATATACACTATTTGAAATTATCAAACTAAAAACTACAACAGTTTTCACAGAATAAAAGGGACAGAATAAAGGAAATTAATACCACTGTAGTCTTAAGTCCTTTTAGTAGTGAAATCTATTTCTACATAGAAGATTATTATCTTTAGTTTCCCTAATCTTCTAAAATCTATAAGACTTTAAAAATTATCAAAGTCTTATCAAACTGAAGACCAAAACTAATATAAACACAAATTTAAGATGACTCATCACCAAAGTCATCCAAGTAATTTCATTGGATGAATTTTTCCAGATAATCACTTTAATCTCTCCCTCACATTGCAATTCCAGGAGGATTTGTGGGCTCTCAAGTCTATCATCCATTTCCTGCAAAGTCAAACGTTTGCTCAGATATGAGGAACAACAAATTTATTAGGATAATTTAAATGCTTGATTTCTTCCTGAGCCTGAGAAACCTCACTTCATTAAGCCAAGTACTTTCTGTGATTAGGACATGAACGGGCAAATGAAGTAGTAGTTGCCCCCAAGTGAAAATGTTTCCCATTAAGCTAAGTCAACACCAAGCTATATCTGAGCACAGATGAAGATAAAACACTCCATATTATGATTCAATTAAAAACCTGCAAGATACGTTACCTGCCGCCTCGAGCACTGAAAGGCACTACATGGATTCCCAGAGGCCCTCCATCGTTGGGGACTCGTACGAGCTTTACCATATCACTGTGAGACAATGATGAATGAGGGAGCATGAACATGTACTGTAAACACACCAAAACTGAAACAAAACAGAATCTCCACAACACAGACGCACAGCAGACAACAAAAGAGAACAAAACAGAAATCCCGCCAGGCACACACGCACATACATTCAGATTTGGGGATATAAGCATGGTGATGGAGGCAACATCAAACACTACATACCTGAACATTAGTCTGATGGCATGGAGGGAGAGCAATCATCAGAAATAACTACATTAAAAAGGACACAGAACCATTTCTCCTGGACCATCTCTTCTGAATAACATGACTTCATGCTCTGCAATGAAATCTCTAGGCTTCAGCTGAAAATTTTCCTTCTCGGGATCTAGTACCAAAACTCTAAAGATCTGCTGAATCAAGATATGACAACTACGTAGTTCTAACTTGTTGTGTTGTTAATCCTTCCAGTATGCCAATAAAGTCAAAGTTTTAGTCTCTGTAGTGACAGTCTAAGGGTGATCCCAATTTTCCTCACTAATCATTCTTCTATCATAAGTCAAGGTCACCATTTCTCAAATTGTTATTAGAGTGAGGCAAATCTGAGTCATAAAACTCAAAAGGTTTTAACACACTTAAAACTAAATAACTTTCCAAGTGTATGTAATTGAGCTTTAAAGTTATATGTATCACATGCAGTAACGGGAAGCCAAGTTCTTTTTAAGAACCTAAACTCATTTGTGTAAGGAGCAGAGCATTCTATACATTTTCAGGATTCACTTCCATGAAGTTTTGGTTTGTTTGTTTTTACTATTATTAATACCTTGAGTTTAATAAGAGTAAGCACAATTTGGAGAATGTAAATTTCTAATCCATTGAAGACAGTTTACTCTCTTTGTAGATTTTTTTCATATATACAAACTATATCCAGAAATCTGAGTAGCATTAACCAATAAATATTTTAAATTGGTACTTTAATTACATGGACAGCTTAAGCAACTAGAAAACTACTACCAATAATCTGACAAAAATCATTATCATTTCTGGGCTGGGAAGGTAGCTCAGTGGTAGAGCGCTTGCCTTGCATGCCTGAGGCCCTGGGTTCAATTCCTCAGCACCACATAAAGCAAAAAGCAAAAAGCCGGAAGTGGCGCTCTGGCTCAAGTGGTAGAGTGCTAGCCTTGAGCTGAAGAGCTGAGGGACAGCGCCCAGGCCCAGAGTTCAGGCCCCACAAACAGACCCAAAAAAAAATCATATCATTTCTATAGGATGCAAAAATGTCAATTTTTCTATTGTATTTCTGTATTTCATGTCTTTTCATAAAATGTAAGTTTATCCAATGTTCTACAAATATAATACAAAGAATAAATATATTAAACAAATGAAAACAAAATGGAAAATATGTGCACAGACTGCATCACATGCACTAATTATGACAAAATAAAAATTTCGATATACAGTTAAAATATTTACAAAAGTAAAACTATTTTAAAGGGACTTTTTCACAAAGGAATTTCATAAACTCCTATTTTAGATACTGCTAACATATTAGCAATTGGCTTTTAGCTAACATTAATATAACTTTAAAAAATTAATTTTATTTCACAGTCTTTTAGAAAAGAACTACCACATAGCAAATACGTCTCAAATGGAAATACTCCAAGTATATCTAAACATAATCTGATCCTAGACTAGACCCTGCTTAATCTCACCAAGAATATTCTTAGTCCTTTATAGACCAAGAAAAGAATATAAATGTTAGTGCTCACATACTAAATTTTTACCCAAAGTCAAGAACAGAATTTAAAACATCTTCTCTCCCTGCCCTATGCCATCCAAGAAAGAGGTCATGAGAACATTTTCCATTTTGAACATGCCAATATTTAAGACAAGTGGAAAGTTCAATGAGACAAGAAAACTTATCTCTTTGTCCTTACATTTAAAACCATAGTCAGGGACCTTAACATCAAAGTTTTCATCAAGTACCTTGAAAGATCTGTTTCCTCAATTAGGAAAAAAAAAACAACAACAAAATTACTATACTGACTGTTGTGCTTTCTTGATCCAACTAACACTTCAAGAAAATAAATATATCTACCATTTTTTTAAATTCAGCAATGCTGAAGAATAAATGACCAAAATATTGACAGATAATCCAAAACAGTTACTGGGTATACTGTTCTGTTAACAGGGCAGACAATTTCAACCAAACACTATCTTAACATTCTAATTCAACAGTATTTGGAAATGCATGAAACTCAGGGCAGGTATATGGGTACTTCCATGCTATACCGCTAACATTGAGTAACTCAACAGATGGAAGATGCTTTGGGAACACAAACCAAGGCAGATTTTCAACAAAGCATAAACAATCCGCATGCCATATGCTCTTGGGATACCAGCAGCAATTAATGATGCTACATGTATATTACAAGTTTAGTTAAAACCATTAGTAACTTACTCCAGAGAAAAGTTGGGCATATTCTCCAAACCAGTGTCAGCATGTCCAACTGGCTCAACGCGGCTGTTATCTTCTTCTGTCCCATCCTCATCCTAAGGAAAACAGAACATAGAGAAGTGTATGCTTAGTTTCTTATTTCCATCGTGTGGAGAAGGCTGGATCAAAAGGGACTGTGACAGGTATTGTGATTGTATTGACGAGGTCTCTCTGGAAATGAGAATGGCCCTTAGTGATTGATGTACGTTAAGTATTAAACCTGAATTTTAAAATCATAGACTTCTGAATTAGCATGCCCTAGTTTACATGGCACTATCATAATAAGAAAGGAGAACTGAACTCTGATTTATGTCAATATTCTTCTCATTATTTTTACTTCATTTCTGCATGTCAGGAAACAGTCGTATTGTTATGTTATGATGTTATATTAATAAGATGCATGTGACACTGGGGATGTGGGCATAAGAAGTGTTTGAGGGCTGGGAAGTTGGCTCAGTGGTAGAGCGCTTGCCTTGTATACTTGAGGCCCTGGGTTCGATTCCTCAGCACCACATCAGCAAAAAGAAAAAAGCCGGAAGTGGTGCTGTGGCTCAAGTGGTAGAGTGCTAGCTTTGAGCAGAAGAGCTGAGGGACAGCGCCCAGGCCCAGAGTTCAGGCCCCATGACCGGACCCCCCCCCCAAAAAAAAAGAAGTGTTTGAGATCAAAATAGTTGAGACAATTACATGCCATGACACTACTGAAAAAGTATCATTTTTGTCACTTGCTCAGCTTGTCAAAAGGACATCCAATGTGTACAATACCAGATGTAAAATCCTTCACTCTGGGAACATCACATAAAAGTACCCCACCCACTAAATAATTAACCAGTATGCCTGCCAAGGTCTCAGTCATAAAGGATCTCAGCTGTTTACTTCTGTGTATAAAGTACCACACTTAAGGAAAAACCCAAGCACAAATATACTTAGCCTCCATCCCCAAATTCCACCTTTGACAAAGGTGGCATTTTGTAAAACAAACAAACAAAATTTCCCACATTCCAATGTGTTGTTAACACAGGTGAGTAGATAAAAATAAATGAAATACCCCTTAAGAATACTCTTTAATTTGTAATTTTAGCCACTGTCTTTTCATTAAGGAGTTCATTAATAGTTAAATTAGCTTTTTAAGATCATTTGAATAATGAGAAACATGCTTGACTGATAAGAATGGTATTGTTAACCCAGTTTGAATATGCAAAGGAAGATTCAGATTTTCCCAAACACAATGGTTACAGTTCCATGTATACTTTGAATCCACAGAGTCTAGCACCTATTAGACACTGTATAAACATTTTACTAATTAAAGGAAAAACATCCCCAGGGTTCTCTGGGGATATTTAAAAGCAAGTAAGCAAATGTATTTAACCCATACCTGATGCAAGTTTATAGGTAAACTTTAGGTCTACATATAAATTGGTAGGTTTACTTATTTCTATTTTAGATATTTGACAACAATGATATTGTTATAAACTAATTAAACCACTTACATCAGGAAAGATTTTGCCATTAATAATAATTTTTTTTGTTTTCCTTTTTTTTGTTGTTGCTGTTGGTCCTGGGGCTTGAGCTCACAAGCCTGCATACTATCCCAGAGCTTTCTTTGCTCAAGGCCACTTTGCTCTACCACTTGAGCCTCAGCTCCACTTCCAGCTTTTTTTTTTTTTTTTTTTGGTAGTTTATTGTAGATAAGAGTCTCATGAACTTTTCTGCCTGGGCTGGCTCCAAACCATGATCCTCAAATCTCAGCCTCCCGAGTAGCAAGGATTACAGGCATGAGCTACCAGCACTCAGTGAGTTTTGAAATTTTACTCATGTATTTGAGAGACTCAAGGTAGAAATATATATGCTATGAAGAGAAATTTCAACTTAAAAAAATGGCAAGACCAGACAGGTTCAAGACACAAAGATAAACAATGTATCAAATTATGAAAGAAGATTAAGAAAAGGCAGAGCAGTTCCTAAGAGCCTATTTTCACTTCTGAGAATCTACCAAAACAAGAAGAGTCTTAGACATGTTCCATGAATCCTTGACAGCGGAGTGCTACATAGAGCCTGGCTACTTGAAGATTGATGATCTTGTGTTTTGAGAGGCTCTAGTATGTACTTCAGTCATCTATCTCTCTTTAAGTACCAGCATATAATACATTGCAAAGGTTAACAGCACTTTGAACCTGCCAAAGAGCATCACTTTAAATGTAAACACCCATTCCCAATATGAGGCTGTTCTGAGAGCAAGGGTGGAGAGCACAGACAACACAACTATTTAGAAGTGAGATATAAGACACAAAAATAATCTTACACCTTGAAGACACATTCTTTCAGGATGTTCATTAGTAACTTCATAAGCGCCACTGAAATACCACCACGACAGATCAGTCATGGAAACACCTTTACCGCACTAAGCAGCAGCCATATAAATGAAATGCCCTCAACTACAGTGATAAAGCAGTAACTGATTATTGACATTTGCTAATCACCTACTGGCCATTACCATATTCTGTCCCTCCTCCCCCCTCCTTGAATATGAAGAATATGATTTCACCAGGTTCAGTTTGGATTGTAGCTTTTGCTGCCTTGAGGCAGACAGGCAATTACTTTGGGAAACTCAACTCTGAGGTGTAAAAATATCAGCCCCAGTATGGTTTCATTATGTGGCTTGGTATCTCTATGATTAGGACTGAACATAGTCTAGTATAAATTACACACTAAATTCCACTGTAACTGCAAAATGAGGGCTACTTACTACATATGTGTTCAAGCAATATTTAAGGACTATACTAGTGTATTAATTTACACTAGACTGTCAGAAACTGTCCAGATGAGATAATAAACCTTTTTTTCTTAAAATATTAAGAGTCAAAAAATAATTGAATATCAATAGCAACTCTGAGATTTGCCAGTTTTGTAGATTTAGAAAGTTATATACCCCCTATATGTCTCTAGTACTGCTCTGTAAAATCAGGACAATATGAACAAATCCCTCTTGGGACCACTAAGAGAACTGAGATAATCCATGTCACCATAGAACATGATGCCTGGCATACAGTAACTTCCATTTACAAATACCAGAACAGAAATAAATGTAGGCAGCTTCCACTCAAAACACACCGCAGTGAATATTTCAGTGTAATTATACACCAATAAGACAACTTAAGAACAGATACTCATCCATTAATACCTTCATGCCTTGTAAAACTTCATAGAAATGTATTGTCCATTCAATAAATTGTAAATTATCTCTAATTAAGAAACTTACACAACAGTTGATACTTATTGTGCTTTGCATAAATTATTTTCTTTGTAAAGTGACTTTAGGATGATAAAACAAATCAAGAAAAAATATAAACAACTAAATGCTATATGAAGTCAAGTGGAGGAAAAAATACTGTGGGTTAATGGCAGATTAAAATTTCAATGAGAAAGTAAATGTCAAGAGCTGTAAAGCACACCATAAATGTGTACGATTACCATCATTTGAAGAAAACAATTCATAATAAATTGAACTGAGAAAGGCTGATGGTAGACTAGCCACGTTTTCACAAATACTGGCAGAGCTGTGCAAGACACAGAATTAAGACCAACAGGGATTACTAGTGCCATGCCATAGAACATCACCCTCCTGTGCTAACACTCCTTAGGCTAACGCTCTCAGGGAGTGATGTGAAGGTGGAAAGGGCATGCCCAGAAAGCCTTGAGTTCAGGGAACTGAAATCTTTTAAATAATAAGCATACATGCTTAGTATTGCAGACAAAGAGACTATGCCAACTTTCCAAAGCTATAGACTATTCAAACATCCTTAAAATAAGGCCTCTGTTCCCAAGTTATAGAGAAATGCAAGGCAGCCAAAGAAAATCACCTCCCAGACAGAGTGAAACCTATGCACTAAAAAGGACCCCATTTGGAACAGTAGACTAAACTAGGGACATCATTAACACATGCCTTTTGATTACCATGTCTCATGAGTGGTAACCACAATCCATAGTAGATAAAAAGAAGTCAAAAATAGCCAAAACTAAAATTTTTATATCAAAAGGGTAATAAGAGTTTGTATTTATCCAACTGTATTATAAAAAGATGAAGGAAAAAAAATCAGAGAAAAGAATAAAATGTTTCTAAGTTTGGTTTAAATCTGTTTCTATGCTTACTTAAGTGGTCATGTTCGCCCCCAAAGGGCTGACATATATTGTGGCTGAATAGGAAAGCTTTTTGTGGCCTACCCCAAGAGTACACACCTAAGCATATTCACTAAGAAACAGAGCCTTGGCTTATCATGGTAGCCCGGCATTCAGCCAATTCCAAAATGAACTGCCAAATTATGTGCAAATAAGGCAACCAGCACAATTACACCTAGCATGCAGCCCCACCACTTTGTAAGGACACTCTCAACCTGGAGTCTGGAATGTTGCTTGGCTCTTCACATTCTCCTTTATCTTTTCTTTAAAGATGAAGTGAAAACAAACCTTACTGCTCTTTTTAAACAGAAAAAAAAAAAGTATTTGATAAGAGTAGGAGGGAAAGAGGTATTTACAGCAGGCAGAAAAGCTGGGTAGTCCAGTAGATATTAAAAAAAAAAAAAAGACAGAAGTAGAACTATGGCTCAAATGGTAGAGTACTAGCATTAGAAAAAAAATTCAAGGACATCACCCAGGCCCTAAGTTCAAACCCCAGAGTCAGCACTGAAAAAAATAAAGAGTCCATAGTTAAAAGTTTCATTTATTATATTCAAATTGCCTATTAAAGAAAATACCGGTTATATGTCCCTACTTGAATATCCTATTTACCTATTATTGATATTTATGTTAAGTGCAAAAGGAAACAAAAGCTCTTATGGTAAACTCAAATTTACAATAGTTTCCTCAATTACTTTTTATTACTCTTAACAGAATAAAAAATTTTAATTGGTTCATTTATATTGCTATAAACATAATCTACTAAATGTATTTTTTCACACTTTTGAGAGTATCTCTAATATTTTTCTCATTTAATGAGTCATGTTAACTATTAATGAGCTGCAGTATGCTACACAAAATATTTATTTGGATATTGACAGAATGA